GTACAGCAAAGTAACAGCTCGAGCTGGGGCAATTATACTCCTTACAGTCTCATTTCCCCACCCGCCAGTGACAGTCTCTCCCAATCTTCTTTACTGAGTCGGTGGTCTCTTTCCTCTGGATTGGTTCACGTCTACATCCCGGGACGGTTGCTGTGTTCCTGCTTCACGGTGCCTTCTCTTATCCGAAGGTTAACCGTTACCTCTGGCCATTGTGTGCTGTATCCTTGAGGGCTGGTTCGAGCTGGGTTTGCAGTCGCATCCTCAGCAATGTCCCTCGAGCTCATTTACAACTCACTCCTGCGGCCTGCAGGCTTCGTCTACTTTAGGCGCTAGTGCTAAGCTGGGCGAGAGCTAAATTAGCTCCCTTTTCTAACAGCAATAATTAACCTTTTGATTTGCTTTGTAACTATTTGGGTGCTAAGACCTTTTCTACTGTTGTTTCAGGTCAGGCACATGATTTGCACAGTAGTTGCACTTGGCTTCCTGACACTGCTACTTATGTGAGGATGGGCTTGAACCTGCATTACTTTCTTGCAAAGCTCATATCCAATTACTTCTTGGCACCACATCTACCCAGCACTTTTTGCATAACCAATTACTCCAATAGCATGAGTTTGGATTTTTGTTGTCCTTCTTTTGTTAAATATAACCAGACTCAATGGCACACAACAAAAAGAACAATAAAAACCTGTGACAAAGGTTTTTGGAGACCATCATGCCAGTTGTTAGGAAAAGATTATAAACTGCAAAATCTGCACCTGTGTTTTGCGGCATTCACTTTGGATGCAAATTCCTTCCTCATAGATCAAGCCACTTACCTGCCTGAGCATGGCAAGGGAGTCTGTTGCCCGAGGGCTGAGAATTACACTTGCAGTGCAATTGTGGAAAGGAAAATATGGGCTCACAAAGAGATCCCTCCCCTCTTCTCCTCAGAAAATTGAAACCAAGGGTACAGCAATGACATCTAATTGCAGCATGCAGGGTCCACAACATGGAAGAAATTACAGACAGCACTGGTGCCAGCTTTCCAATTAAAATTTGACAGATCTTGTAAATTTACCATTTCTTTCTACAAGCATCTGTGCTACGAGAAAAAAAAAATCCCTCAAACACTACAAAAATAAAAGTCACAGAATCACAGAATGGTTGAGGTTGGAAGGGACCTCTGGAGATCATCTAGTCCAACCCCCCTGCTCAAGCAGGGACCTCTAGAGCATATTTCCCAGGATCA